GTGAGTGTTGGGTGTTTTAAAACACATACCATTCATTATATAAAAAGCATGCTCATATCTTAGTCATATGACGTCGGCCTCCTTTGTGGGTCCATGAACAATGTCAGACTCAAGGACACCCATCCAATTTTGCAATCTCAGAAAACACAAGAGGGCATCTCAAAACACTTTAGTCTAGAAAACCAACTGCGTCTGAAATAAAAGTGGCACTGGATACCAAACAACTATTCAAGCTTATTGAGTTTACAAAATGCCATATCAAGTTCTGATAAGATGAGAAATATCAGCGCTTTCATGGTGAGGTAGGAGGAAGATGTGTCTCTGTCTTCGACCAGCTTGAAATATGAATTTAAGAGGCTGCAATGATTGGATTGAATCACGGCTGATTAACGTTTCAGGCCTAATTTACTCTCCCATTCATTTGCGCAGACTGACAAATACTGGCAGATCTTCAGAACGCCGCTGGTCGTCCATGAGTCAGGCCTGGGAAAGCCAGAGGGAGAGAGTCCTTACCTCACGTCTGTTATTCTCACAAACCTGGTGTGAGAAGAGTATATACTAACCGTAGTGAGCCTTCCCATCCTGAGGGAGCAGTAAAGGGCTCCCAAACACAAAAAAGGGCGAGACCAGACCGAAGACTTTGTTGCAGTTTCCAGGCAACACATAGAACGAGCCTGTGGAGAAAAGGTGGAGGAGGTGCACCACGGGCCGGGCCGGCTCACATGCACACGGGGCCCGGAGGCTTCGGTGTGATTAATGGCACAGGTATGCGCTATAGCAGGCATCCTCCGAGAACCTACAGATCAGTCTTCCTGTAATACAAATCTGACATTTCGCTCCCCTCCCCTTTCTCCACCCCACCCACCTGCCACTGCAGCACCATCATCAGAAACTCAGCTCCTCACTGCCAAGTGCATCACCGACATCACACTCATAAATCATTCCCAAACAAAACATGCTTAATCTGTGACACGCAGGCCTGACACACAAATTTATTACCTGTGTGAGATGCACAACAACATGTCCCTAGCACCTTCTGTCTGTCGGAGAAGAAAAAATCATACGGATGGGAATGGGGAGGACAATTGCTAAACTTCATGCTTAGTGTAGGGATGCTAGCTCCTGTTCGCTGAGTATGAGAGACAAAGCATTTACAAGGCTGGTTAATTTCAAGGGCTTATTACAGTACAGAGAGCTCTTTCTTCTGCCGCCTCACTCTTGCCAAAGGATTTTACTCAAGCACATTTGTAAGACATTAATACATAAGTCCTTTTCATGGATTAGGTTGGCAATGAGATGAATAGTCTGTGGTATGAGTCAAATTGCCTGATTGTAACTGGCTGTTTTAAATGGAGGAGGTTAATGAAACAAAAGCTTACCTCTCTAATCCCAAAACAAGGAAAAAAACAAATATAAACTTGCTTTATGAGCTTATTACAATTCATATTCTGCAGCATTATGCACATTCAGCTCCAAGGAGTAGAAAAAATGGAAAGGAAAGCACTGTTCTAGATTTTTTTAAGACAGTGTTGTGATATGTAAAAATGATCATCCACAAGAATGATCACTTTTACATCATCTCAAATCGCAGAGTGTTTTTTTCGGTAACTCCGCAATGTTATATTTGCTGATGTATTGTCTTTGGAAAAGTGTTAAAGGAGCTCTATGCTTTTTACTGTGGTTATTTGATGTATCACTTCTGGGTTTAACAAGTATAGACAAATGATTCCACAGATCTTTCCTTCTGGAGACAAAGTCACAGTGATTACAATCAGGTCATAAGAGCAAGTGAAAATCACACGGGAGTTTCCCCTGGGGATCTGCCCTGCTGCATTTTATACGGCTTTTAGATGTGAATCACCATGAGCATGTTGGGATGGATCAGGAGGAAAACAAACAGGAACTTTGGTTTGGTCTGTGCTCAGAGTTTAAGGAGTGTTTTAACACATTGTCTAAACATCTGTAACTCCATGTGTTTGTGCCTTTCATGGTTTCCACTGTGATAATAATAAGAAACGTTTCTTGAGCAGGTCACCTATTCTAATGTTTTCAGATCATGTGACTGAATAGTAACTGCTGCTAATAATCCAACTTTACCAACTCAGGAGTTAATAACATTTTAAAATATATGTATTTAAATAGAATATGCTAGTTTTAAATAATAATAATGTCATGTCAATTATTTGACGGTATAATTTAACACAAAGACTTATATTGGTTATCTCGGCAGGGTGTTGGTCTCATATAATTGTGATTTTACCTTGTAAATAAACTGCTCCTATGGAAGTATCTATTCTTAGTATGCCATGACAGTTTTGCAGTGAGGTTGAGCAGTAAGGGATATACAGTACTTGTGTCAGGTGTTCATTGAACATCTTCTCTGGAAACTCTTTGTTCGTGTTGTGTATTAATGATTTCAGTACAAGGCCTTTGTGAAGTGATAAAAGCTTCTGTGTTTTAGTTCTGTGTTTGGCCTTATTGATCAAATGCTTTTTATGGTGTCTACCTTACTGTCCTAACTTAAGGTACTGTAAAGTGCACAAGGATATTGATTGTTCTTATTACACGTTTTGTTTTTCTTTTTAGAGAAAGGTGTTCAATATTTAGCTTGATAACAGAGTGCATTATATAGAGGGCACTTGAATACAAGCAGAGGCCATCTGACCAAAACATTATCATGAAGGTTGTGTCAAGGCAAACTTGAATGATTTATTATGCATTGTATATTGGAGATTTGATAGGATCTGAAAATAACAAACACGTGGTTTGGAAAACATGAAAGCATTTGTGCGGTAATACAATTATTAGGTCCATAACTTTCAGTTTTTATTGCAACTCTAAATGAACAGTTTAATGCTGTTAGACTTTTTTTAAACTATATTATAAACTATTAAACTATTATCATCTAAAAAACAATAAAACATGAGATAAAAATCTCTGGAACTTTACCATAGTATAACAAGAGATAATTTCTGTTGATGCACCTTAGTTTCAATCTTGTTTATCAAGTAGGTCTCTAGTCACGTTACCCGATGTGTCAAAGTGAATTAATTTGAGGCCATTTTGTGAGATTAATTAAATGATTCTTGATATTAAGGACTGAATGAAAAATGGGAAGAATGGTTTAATTTCTGACCTTGCTAAATTTTTAATGAACTCGCTATGTCTCGTACAAAATGGCTCTCTCTCTTATAAATGGCGCTGTACAGTAACTTCAACAAATGGTGGGCAAATTAAAGGGATTTTATTGTCTCTGGAAGTAGCTGTCTGTAAGTCTTTGAAACCCAGACGATTTGAAGTATACGTTAACCTACAGTACTACATTTCTAAGTTGTGAGGTAAAAAATAGAAAATAAAAGTTGTGAGTGTCAGGTGTATAATTACAGGCTCAGATATTAGTTTCTTTAGAGTGAACAAAAGGAGAAAAAGTAGTTGGTGAAAACTTCTGAGGTTTTGATTAGATATGTTACATAGATGCATGAGTATGTGACAGTTGTGTGCGGTGCTGCGCTACTGCACTGGCAGGGCATGCTCAGTGTTAATTATGTGCAGTAATGAGAGAACAGAGCCAGACTGTGAGACACAGGGTATTTTTAGAGCCTCTGCAAAGTTATCTAATGCACAGACTCAGTCTGCACAGAGACATACTGATGTACCTTTGCTCTGTTCCAGTTCCTCTATTTTGTCATCCTAACTTTAGGCTCTGTCTGCTGTGGTAAAGATCATTTCAACAAGTGTGTGGATGGTGAAATAAAAAAAATAAATAAAAAAAAGTGTGGAAAATCACGTTATTATCAACACGTCACTATAAGGTTCAGTTCATTAGTAAATGCTAACAACGAACAAGACGTTTTCAGCATTTATTTGTCAAGGTTATGTACATTTATACTATTTTTAATTACTCACTCATGTTAATTTATAATAACTAATGTTAATTTGTACAACATGAAATTATACAATTTATTAGTTTGTAGAATTTGACATTAATCTAGATTTATAAATTCTGTAAAAGTGTTTATAGTTTATGCTACCTAGTGCATTAACAAGTGGTGAAATATTGTATCGAGATGCTCTTTCACATAATATATGAATAACTTATTGTTTTCAATATTTTTGGAAGGTCAGATTATACTTAACATTAAGGAACCATTTCTGTGCACGAGCTGGGAACTGTGGACAATGAGCGGGATATTTGAAGGACTTTGGCTAGTTTAGTTCTGCCTAGTTCTAATTGTAATGATGTGTTAATCAAGAATCTGCTGTCAAAACAATGACCTTCAGTGTGTTTATGAGTCCAAAGAGCCTTTTGTTCTTCAAAAAGAAAGTTCAGACAGAAACTCTAACTTGACTATGGTGCTCTAATAGTCTGTTATATGAGTGATATTATAAGATCCTTTATTTAATTGGTGGCGTAGTATCTAAGCAGTCTGGGGCTATTTGTGGTCTGGTACAATGCTGAAAATGTCAGCTGTCTTCTATTTGAGTATGTTTTATAAACCCCACTGCAATCCTCTAGGTCTTAATGACCCATCAATACAAAACTTTAACTTCAGCTTGCAGCGAAATATAAGCGCTTCAGCTGGCTTAATTTTCACTATTCTGTTGAACCCAAAACTTGATGGCAGTATACTATTGAAATTTTGCTCAAATGTTGATGGTTCATGTTTAGATGACTTTTATTGGCAAGTAAAATGACACTTTGAAATATTGGTGGCAGCACTGGCAAGGCTTTATTATGAGAAAGTGAAACAACAGGGAATTCTGTGTCTTTCCTTTCTTCTTTCTTCCATCTCTTGTGAACAGTCAGGCATAGTTGTTCTCCGATCAGCAATTTTTTTTTTCACTTTTATTAATAATAATTAATAAAACACAAAATACATCTAACACCCTTGGTATTGGTGAGTGACAGCTGCGGCTGGTCCACCACTCCCCTGAGCCAAGCCCTGTCACATACACGCATGCCCAGCATGTCAGCGTCCATCTGGGATCCTACCCTTCAAACTTCTGTCGCCCAGCTCCCTTCCGGTAGAAAGACCCAGGGACGAGAGTGTGAAGTCAGACCTCACAGGGGCAAAAAGAAAGCCGTCCAAAGCCAGCTGGTCTGGCTTTGAGGAAAGCAAGGGAGACAGAAAGCAAAAGAGAGAGAGAGAGCGTGAGAGAGGAAGGCAGATAGAAAGAGAGACAGAGAACAAGAGAGAAAATTTAAGGAATGCAAAGGAAGTTAAAGTAAGTGTGGCACACCTGAGAAAGATACCTGAGGAAGGCCGGCCAGCAGGTTCTGTGAAGGTAATTGATCGTCACATGAAACAGGTGAGATACACAGCCATTTACAGATGGGAGGGGCAATGGTGCAGATGCATTGTGTACAAAATATTAAAACATGACCTGACTGCTTGTGATTGGTAAGTAATGGAATAATGCAAGCAGAAAAATCATTCAAATGAATGCATGGTAATATAGAAAAAGCTATTTAAGAAAAGTATATATATATATATATATATATATATATATATATATTGTGTGTGTGTGTGTGTGTGTATCTTTGTCCATTTTTTTACTTTCTATATTTTATATCTGTTTTCTTCATCATAATTATGCTTGAATTTGTAACTTTTTTCCAGGATTGCACCACTTTCATTTTACTTGAATAAACCTGAAACTGAATAGAGGAAACCGATTTTTTAGGAAGATCTTTTAAAAGTCTTTCGCTTCTTTTTATTCAGTAAATATATAATACATATATAATACTATTTCAGTGTTAGTTGTTTGCTGTCTATATCTGCACCACATTTTATTATATTAAGTAAATTTGATCAAGAGCTCAGTTTTTTTTTAAATTGCTATAAATGAACATTTCATAATATTTTTACTCTGCTTACTGGTCATTATCTACAGTATTTTCAGGTACAGTTGATTAAACACTAAATTGTCTGTAAGAAGAAAAAAATGTGTTTCTTTCTAGCTAATCTCTAGACCACAGGTGGCTGGGTGTTCAGTGTGGTTTGTTAGGTTTCTGGTGCCAATGGGTGTTTGCACAGGGGATCCAGAGTATGTGCCTAGCCCTGATGGGACTATTTTTATGTACATCTCCAGCTTTACAAGGCTTCAAATAGAATGTGAAAAAGTGAGAAGTCACAGAGGGCACATAATCAGGGATTTCTTCAATATCCATAGCCTTTTTCCAGGGATTACTTACTGCAGAATGAGTTTGCTGTGGATTCTATGGCTATATTTTCAAGAGTATGCATATTATTGTATTGTTATTCCATGTGACACCATGTCTTAAAAAGTACTTTTACATTTTTAAATTTTCAGGCATTGTTAGGAAGGATCTGCAAGGAAAATATATTATTTTAACTTAACATTCTAAAATTCTGCTCAAATGTAAATAAATTATATTCTGCAAACTGTTTACTCGAAGTGCAAAAAAGTTAAAAGATGTTCTTAAGACTAAATATAATGTGGATAAGCTGCCAGTTTCGATTGTTGTGTGAATCCATGATGATTGCTTATAATTACATCCAAGATTTATGTCCAGGTGCAATTTGAAGCTCAAAGTGCTTAAAACACTGACTATTGAGGTCAATGTGTTTTAGTAATCACCGGAATTTGCCTGTATTGTTGCATAAGTTAAACTGAACTGAAGTTATGAAAGTAATGACACTCTTGCTGTATTTTAGTAATAAAATAGGCCTAATGTAGTGTTTCAATTAAAACAAACTGAATTTTGTAAATGTAAATCATTTATGAAGGCCTCTGAAAACTGATTCTGGTTTGTTTTATTTATTGGCCCTTGTATAACTGTTTTGCATTGTGTAAACATGTTGTAATTCCTTTGATGTCCTGTATGTCCCATTTCACATGTGGTAAAACTACCAGTACCTCCTGTACTCCTGTTACTTCGGTGACCGAGAAGTGCAAAGCAAATCACAATTCTGAAAACAAAATAACAAATTACAAATGCAAATGCAAGTCTAAAAAAACTAAATAACAATTCAGAAAGCACAAGAATGCCCTTACTATGGAATAAAAAATACGGAGTGTATATTTACATTTAGTTAAAAGTGGTTGTAAATGATCAGCTGCAGTGGTGCAGATGGATAAGCACGTATTGTTGACTTTTTGACGCGATCGACCCGGGTTCGATCCCGCCTTTTGCTGAACTTTTTTTCCCTCCCTTTTCAAATCTCGTATCATATTGTAAAGGCATTTATTTTCAATAAAAATTAAGGAAATAAAAAAAAGTTGAAAATAAAGTATTAGGTAGGGTTAGGGTAGGTTTAGGGAGGGCTTTATTGTACCAATAAGGTGGCATCCATTTAATAATTAAAATTAAAATTATAATTTACACTCAATACGTTATTATTGCATACTGTTTTATAATGTACTACAATAATGAAGTGCAGATAATTGCCACTATTTGCAACAAGTAGTATACTTGATAGTAGAAATCCTGCTATTTTAACATAGTGTAAATAGGTATTTGCACTTAGTGTAAATAGCATATTGCTAAAATTATTGCTATTTTCACTTAGTGTAAATAGAATCCATTGCTAAGACGAGATTTGAAAAGGAAGGGAAAAAAGTTTGGCAAAAGACAGGATCGAACCCGGGTCGATCGCGTCAAAAAGCCAACAACACACACTTATCCATCTGCGCCACTGGAACTGATGATTTATGGCCACAAAATTGTTATTTTGTTTTTTAGACTTGCATTTGCGTTTGTAATTTGTTATCTTGTTTTCAGAATTGTGATTTGCTTTGCACTTCTCGGCCACCGTATAAAATGGTGGTAGTCCCAGCAAAAACAGCTCATGTTCAGTTCCACACCTCTTCCACAGATCCTACAACTACACGTGATACTGCCACATGCAACGTAAAACGCAGCCAACCTCTTTTCTCTGATTGGTCACTGTCAAGCCGCTGAGGGATTCGATTGGATGAGAAACATATCACTTCAAAAGCACTGACCCTATTGTTACAGTTGTTTTATAGAACTTACGTCAATCGTATTTAAGGTAGTGCCAGTCTATGGACCATGATAAATATTAAAATTGCTCTGGACGTAACGGGCTTTTAGCAAGGAGCCACTAATCGTTGCTGTGGAGGATTTTACTCAACAGTGACGTCTTTGTTAACTTTTTGAGGGACAGTGCTTTAACTGTCACTTCCTCGATTCGATGACATGCACATATACTATTCGGGTTGTTTCCTCGCTTTCTCAAACTGTTAAACACGGTGATGTCATGGTGTGGCGGTTAAGGAGCCGTTTCCTCTCTTTCTCTCCCCTCATGTCGCTGGCTTACTTGCTTTGCAGCCTTTTACCTTTGACAAAAAACACAGTGTCGGACTTCTTTCGTGTTTCATCATGTTTAACTCTGTTCTTGAGTTTTTCATATTTGTTTTTAAACTGGAGATGAGACACGAGTAGAGTAGGAGGTGGAGGATGAGGAGGCGGCATTTTTTATGGCAAGCCCAAGTAACAATTATTCCTTTAGACCAAATAAGGAATTGGAATCTGGTTTAATTGGTTTGGCTAATTACTACGAAGTAATCCAATAGTGACTAGGATTTTTCCCCCTACTAGCCACTTTCCTGAAAACGATGATCTTTTTCCAGTTAACTCTGTGGAGATATGTGGTTTAGATAATGACTGCATGCACTGGTGGTAGGCTACCTTATCCAGTTTTATTTGTAACTACTTTATGTACTAGTACGTCTTAGTTACTCCAGTATTTAAGCCTACTAGTTTTCCAGTTTTCCCGATAGTAATTAAGTAGATCTATTACCTATTTATTAGAGAATAATATGCATTCTGATCATTATAAAATTTTCAACTTTACTTATAAGATTCTAATCAATCTATGAAGTAATCTGTTTGACTAGTCATTACATAAACTATAAGTAAAATTGCATCTTTAGGAACTAGTACTTGTAGCTTAGTTATTCTAATAGTTAGACCTACTAGTAGGGCTGTGCAAATAATCAAATGCTATTTGCATTCGCATCTCGTCAGTAAATACGGTTCTGTGATTAGTAGTAAATCTCCAGCATCGGCAATGCTTCAGCATTTACTACACAGAGCCGTAGTTCACTGACAAGCTACGCAAAATCGCGTTCATAATCGGCAATGAATCGCCTGCGATTTTGAACGTGATATTGTGTAGCTTGTCAGTGAACTACGGCTTTGTGTAGTACAGTGGTTCTCAAACCTGTCCTGGAGTACCCCCAGCCCTGCACATTTTGTATGTCTCCCTCATCTATCACACCTGATTCAACTCATCAGCGGAGACCGCAAGATCTGAAGTGGGTGTGTCAGATATAGGGAGACAAACAAAATGTGCAGTGCTGGGGGTACTTCATGGAGAGGTTTGAGAACCACTGGTGTAGTAAATGCCGATCCATCTGAAAGCACATGCTGGAGATTTACTAATCACAGAACCGGCCTTACGGACGAGATGCGCATGAAAATCACATTTGATTATTTGCACAGCCCTACCTACTAGTATTCCAGTTCTCCTATTAGCAATTAAATATACATTAGTACCTATTTATTAGACACTAATATGCATTGTGATAATTCTGATTTCTAACTTTACTAATAAGATTTTTGATATATAAAGTTGTCTGTTTGACTGGTCATTACATAAAATATAAATAAAAATGCAGTTGTGCATATTGAGATTGTAGTGACTAACCAGTGGAATTCATACTTGTGTCTTAAAAATACAGTAGGCCTACTATCTAATAAATAAGTACTAGTAGAGCTATAGATTGCAGTAACCTGGTAGGCCTATAGTTTTTATTTAGGCATTATTAGACCTATCTATGACTAAAGGATAGTTACTAGTAAATTTGAAAAAGAACCTAGTCACTATTTCATATCTTCAAAAAAGTTACAGGAATGAGACGAAAGACACTATTCAGTTTTAAAGAATATATGTTAATATGGCTTGCCGTAGGAGGTTGACTCTGTCCAGTGTTCGTCATATTGGGGGAGGAGCATATGTTGTGACAAGAGAGACTGCTGCTTCTACTGAGTTTGTTAGCTCAGCTCCCGAAAATAGAAGTCGTGTGTCAATGTGACTGAAAATACGTTTATGTCACAGTGTATCCACGGGAGTCACTGATACACAGTATCTATATACAGCGAAGGGGACCGCGAAGAAAAAAGGTGAGTCGCAAAAATAGCAACAATGTTACACAGCAGCGGAGTCAGAGAGAGAGGAGGGAGTCGTGGAGTGAGACTGGATGAGCGCAAATTAAACGCGTTACAGTTCGTTTGAGAAGCTAAACATGTTTGTAATATGCGTATCTCAGTAGTCGGCAATACGTCTGGATGTGTTCGGTACGAGTCGCGAGCTCCTGACTGAAGTACAATGTTTTTCGTGCTCGTAATTCTCTAAAGAAGAGCTCGTGCGTTGTTTTGGGTTCAGTCCACTTTGACACTTGGCAAATATTACGCTCTAGACTCGCATCATTATTTTCCGGGCGGTGTTCAAAATTTTTGGAGGGGCGATTAAAAACGAGATATATTATTCAAGAAAGCCAGCATATAGTGAGATATTTACTGTAAAGTTCGAATTTGTGACTATATACTTTGCAAACCGTTAAGCTTTCGATTCTGAATATGCAGGTAGTGTCAGTGGTTGAAGAGGGTCACCTGCAGAGGTTCAGAACTTCAAAACAGGGCAAGATCAACTTCAGGACCCGTGTGACATAATGTTTTCTTGCTTTCTTTTGTCTCCGAATGTGTGGACTGGCTAGTTGAAGTTGCAAGACAGATATTTATTGCATTTGATCTTGCTTTTTGGACGGGACATTTGTTTAAAACACCCAAACTCTAAGAGACAACTGAATTTATTAATGTTTTGTACTTCGGACACTGTAATTTGGGATTAGTAAATGTTTTACATTCTAAGACACATTAAAACACGCACAGTCAACAGGGTTAAAATGTAGGATATTACCTCCGAGGCCATTTAAAAAGCACTTTATGAATATTAGGGAAAGTTATTGATCTTCCATTATGCCTAACTTTGAGAGTGATTTTGAATTTTGGAAGTGTTTGCACAAAGTTTTCTCTCTGAAATCTAGATGGTGCTGGTCTCTTGCAGAGCTTTGGATAGTTGACACCAGTTACAGCACGAAGTGTTACATTGATGAAGCAATGTATTTATTGGAGTCTCTCATACTGTATGTTAGTGAATAAACTGAGACGTGAAGTGTAAACTGATGCCATCAATTATTTTATAATAGTGTATTCATTTCACTTGTGATTTAATGTTATTCTTGAAGTCACAGGGTCTTGTTACAAACGAGTAGGAGGTCTAACTATTGTGTGGTGCATGATTGTGACTCATCTGCAAGGTCATTACTGCAGTAAAGTTATTTAATTAAATATATAAACCATCAAGTTTCATTCATGTTTAGTTTTGCCGTTAACCAACAATGGCGTCATTCCCAGTTATTAGTTAAACAAAATCAATCTAGACTAATACTGTTTCACGTTATGAAATTTAAAACTGATTGTTGTGCAAAAAAAATTTGGTATCAACTTAATAAATGCTTGTTTAAAATATTAGATTTATAATTTACTTTTCTTATGGACAGAGACAAAGAATGTAAAAAAAAAATTAAAGTGCTTTAAATGCCTTTACCTTTATGTACAAAAAACATTCATTGTAAATCATTTGATTTAATGTTATTCTTGAAGTCACAGGGTCTTGTTACAAACGAGTAGGAGGTCTAACTATTGTGTGGTGCATGATTGTGACTCATCTGCAAGGTCATTACTGCAGTAAAGTTATTTAATTAAATATATAAACCATCAAGTTTCATTCATGTTTAGTTTTGCCGTTAACCAACAATGGCGTCATTCCCAGTTATTAGTTAAACAAAATCAATCTAGACTAATACTGTTTCACGTTATGAAATTTAAAACTGATTGTTGTGCAAAAAATATTTGGTATCAACTTAATAAATGCTTGTTTAAAATATTAGATTTATAATTTACTTTGCTTATGGACAGAGACAAAGAATGTAAAAAAAAAATTAAAGTGCTTTAAATGCCTTTACCTTTATGTACAAAAAACATTCATTGTAAATCCTTTTGTGTGTGTGTGTGTGTGTGTGTGTACTTTCTGTAAGAGCTCTGCTGACTTTGACATGCACAGTGAAGGAACAGCCTAATCATCCACAGGCAGAGAGTGTAGTACTTGTGCTTGTAAGATTACACATGCCTCTGTTAATGGCCCTGCAGCCCGCCATTTAGTTATCTGTAAAATGCCTTAGACTCACCTTACGCAACATTACAAGATGATATGTCATTTTGACCTTCACAGAATGTTTTAGGCATGTCAATTATAAATATTTAACAATTCAAATATTTATCAATATTTTATATTGATAAAGATATTAAATTGATAAAATACTAAAGTAAACCACGATGGCTTGACCTGTTGTCCGAATGTCAAAGGCTCAATGGGGCTGTTTTCACAGGGTTGCTCATTGCCTGGCAAGCATTGTAATTACGAGCCACACGAGGCAGGCAATCAGGTCACGGTACATCATCATGAAAATGCCCTCAGGAACAATGTTGGTCTGTCCCACTGATTGTTCGGAGCTTACAACCTGTAGTCAGGGCCCAGCACACCGTAGATTCATTGATTAGTTCAATATTTTAAGCTGCACAGAGAGATGATAATAGAATATGAAGTGCAAAAAAATAAGTGGGCCTTGTGCATGAGTGCTTATTTTGTGCTTGCTCGTTTTCTAAGTAAATAAGAAGTAGAGTTATATAATAAAAATCAAGCTTTAGATCCATTTTAACTACTTTGTACTAATATTTAAATTAAGCACATTTATGTGTACATTAATTGTATGCTACCTATATTATGTACTTGTATATACCCGCATGTAATTACATCTGTAATTAATTTCTGTTATTATTCTATAAATATCAAATCTATAATTACACTGTTGACTCTACCCCTTAACTCATCCTTAAACCTAACCATACCGTGAAACCTGTCCCTATCCTTACACATACTGCACTTCAATAGCAGCACAAACATTTCCCAGTACAACAATAAGTATACAATACTATGAATACAATAAATATGTTGTACCCAAACGATTTTTTTAATGTAAGAACCTAGTAGTTAAAGACAATTAATATAAAGTTGGACCCAAGTTTGATATCATAAGGGAATATGAAGTATGTATTTGTGAAGGAGAGGGATTTAATCTGCCTTGGTGTTAGAATTGGTGCTTTTTGATTATTTGATCTCTATGCACTCTGACTGAAATATTACTTCATTAACTGTGCTTACAGCACACACTGAATTTGTTTTGTTGCAAACCACATTAAAATATGTTTTAATTAAATTTGTTTTGCAGCCCTCGTTTTCATCTGAGGTACATTGTAAAGAATTATTATCCCAGTCAAACGTATAATGCCATCACACTTTTTCCATCTGTCTTTCTGTGCGAATTTATTATAGTTTAATAAGCCCAAACTAAACATGGGTTCAAAGTCAGCACTGAAAACATCACACTGAAACTCAATAGCTTTCTGTTTACAATGAATTAGTCAGTGAATGAATTCTTTTAATATTCCGAATGCTGTTCACCTAACATGGCCCTCTTCAAATCTGATAAAGCACAACATCACACTTGAAATTGGTGTCCTCCTGTGCTCTGTTAATAAAGAATCTTTTGTTTATTATGTATTGTTTCTTTATCACTAGATACTGACAACATCAGTGGTATTTTTTTTAGATGACGCTGCAATTTATGATATGTGTTTTTTTGTTTTTCATACATTAATTTAATTTAAATCACTCCTCTTTTCGATCCCAGTCACTGCTAATGTATAGTTGAATAAAGTTTATGCAGTCAGTATCTATTAAGTTTTCCAGGTTAGACACAACAGCCTTAATCGTCATTCTAACTGACATGTGACTTCTTGCATCTTCCAGCTTGAGATCTGAGTGCACTTTGGCTATAGAATTTTTCTCAGGCCTGCTTCTTAATATTTCTCCCATAGGCTTGAAGTAGACTGTATTTACACTTCATCAGGTATAATGCAACAGATTTATAGCATATGCTGTATGATGCACTTGGACCACACTGTCAGTTTGCATCGTCTCATGGGCATCTGTCCATGCCTGTGCCGTTCTTGTGAAATAAAGTCAGCTGTGGTGAAGTCGAGCTCCAGAGGTGGTGATTGGTGTTGCACAGGGTGGGGGTTAGAGCATCTCCCACTGTGCTGTTCATAGCACTCCAATCTCACAGCCTGCTCTCAGCTCCTTCCAGGAGAGAGTGAATAGAGAGAGTCTGGAGTGTGTGGGCGAGTCTGATCTGCAATTAACGCTGGTTGTCAGAAAGAGAAGGCTGGCGTTTACACCATGCTTCTGAATCACTGAGCGAAACACTTTTCCTCTCTTCCCTTCCCCCTCAAACAGGGTATTTTACCCAAGGAGGAGAAAGCATCAGGAAGCTCCGAGTAGAGAGACGCATTGAAAGCAAAGGAAGAAAGAACGTAAAGAAGACTTGAGCTGGATATTTTGGGTCCAGGACTGAGGATTGTGCTGCTTCGTTTGTTAGGGTAAGCCCATCTCTTCTCTTCCTGTCAAACAATGTTGCATCTGTTTTAATTATACAGAGGCTCACTTTTTTGTATTAAATTTAATAAAGTAAACATGATACAGTGCCTTATGGTCAGTTGACTTCTAATGTTGAGTTACTGGCGTAGTACTCTACATGCACGATATGATTTATATGGTGAAACTGTTGAAAACAAGTTGTTTGGCTTGTTCCAAATAGGAGTTACACTGTCCATGCTGAAGCTGTAGTGTTTAATTTGACGTTAGCTGAATTTAAATTGAAACACCCTGTTCTTAAGTGTCTTATTTGAGTCAGCTGCAGCTGGCAAAGGATGCATTGTTCGGTCTCAAAGTTAGCCACAAATGTTAGTTAACAATTGGAGGCAGGACCTTTTCAAAACAAGGGTACTGGTATGTCATTTTGTTAGTCTGTACATTTCTTGAAATTAGATTTATTCATTTATTAATTATCACTGCTGATGATGTGAAGAAATCTATAATGTAGAGACCCAGATTGTGCAATTCTGTAAAATCTGTATGTTTCATCTGCATCAATTATCTGTAAGTTAATTGAGCTTAAGGATCTTAAGTGAAATGTTTGATGCTAGTTTGCTGTCATCCATTTGCAATATAAACCAAAACAAGTTACAACAAAACCACTCAATGATACATTTAATGACACATTTGTGCAATCTTTACTGAAAACAGGCCGTTTTCAGGGGACGTCATTGACTCTGCATTTGATGCATCATGCTCATTACTTGTTTGAATGCTCTAGTCGCAGGCCTATTCTTTTTCCCTGAGTGTGAAGACACTTTAGCAGTTCTGTTCTAAATATTTTTCAGATCAGCCCAATGGAATGTGCCATACTTTTGCACCATGTCCATTAAATCACGCTCTGTTTTCTTTTTGTGCAACGGCTCTCTTTCACGCTTGCTCAGAGCAGCGTGATTCATTGTTTATTGGAACTCTATCATTGAGCTGGAGATTCCAGCATTCTCCCGTGAGACCTTGAGGCAGGATGCAGAATCTTGAGCCCAGCAGATAATGTTTGAGCCATAGTTTGCTTGTGTGGGCAATGCAAACCTTTTTCCCTCCTCTGGGAACATCTCGAAGGATTTTTTTTTATTTGATAAAAGGCGTATAAATGGGCTGCTTTTATCACCATAAAGGTCAGAGTTATGAATATGCATCCACATGCATATATTCAGTTGACTTTAGTCTGCGCTGACTTCCCTCTCTATTATCTGTGGTTTTTGGATCGATTGTCTAACGCAGTGGAATGTACGATGTCCCAGCGGGGTCACCCCATAAGTAGCAGCTCCAAAACCAGAAACCTCTGGCTGCCTCCTGTCCCACCACCACGCCACATTGCCGCACTTTTAATTCTAAATAAGTTACCAAAGGATATGAGGAACATGTTAGGCAAACAGAAAAACCATCATTTAAGATGTATATCAAAATATTAGCTCCTCATTTACCTTGCATGCACACACAACTGCATCTGTTGCAAGCCGTAAATAGGTTTCCACTGCTCTTGCCAAATAAAACCATCTATCAGGTTCTTAGGCTCCTCAGTTTTAGCTTTATTAGGCAGCTTCTTAATATGTAGTGATGATGATTTCCAAACCATTGGCCTGGGGGTTAGCATCCAAGTTGGCATAGGCCTCCTCACCACATGAAAATACAGCTCACTTTTTGACATGTGGATAAGATTTTAGAGTTAATATTGGTTAAATCATATTTAAAGTGCATAGCCAGTGTTGCAGAATGACTGGGGCAAAAAAAGCATGCACACAATTATAATTAAATAAGAGCATGTGAGAGGGACTTACAACTGAGAATTATCTGGCTAGACACACGTCAGCTGAATGTATTCATGTTTCTCTATTTGTCACTACCTAGAAAAGCCACTGGGTCTGTCTGGGTCATCAAAAACAAATTTAGTCAAGAATGCTGGGATAAGTTATCAGTGTTACCCAACCAAAACGTTTATAAACACAAACTTTCTATCATCTTTGTAGATTCAAATATGTTGTGAATGTGCAAGAACTTTATTCAGTTTATCAATAATCTCCATTTAACTTCTGACATTCATTAAAGGCTATTAAACATTAATGACCATCAGAAGTTTAATTGAGACTCTGTAGTCTCAATTAAATTATGCCATAGACAGGAGTGCCATAGACACACTGTATAAAATTTCTTGTTTTGTATTGTTAGGTTCAGTTTGTAATTTTGTACTGGCATTGGCCAAGCAATTGACCAATTTGGTATTTCCATGCAAAAAGATGCAGCATTAGAAACCCATTGGTTTCTGACCATACATGTTTGATGTAACAGCATGTTTAATACCAGATCTACCTCTTTAGCACAGCACGATGGGAAAGCTACTCCTGCATTGTCTAAAGTAACCGCTAGCATTGACCTTTCGACTGCTCTGCCCTTGGCTGTGACCTCTGGTGGTAAGCCACCTATACGGTCCACTCAGCACATGTGCTGCTGAGCAGTGCAGAGCGGCTTAAGGATTGACAGCCTCTTTCCTGTCTCCTTCGTCCTTCCCGAAGATGCGGTCATGCTTGACGACCTGGCTTCAGGTGTCTCTTTCGCTCTAGGCCGTGGCTGGTCCTCGGCATCACGGGTGTGAGGCTGGAGCCAGAGCAGCAGCCCAAAGCTGCTAATCCTCTTTCCCTACTGATCCTCTTCCTCTCTGCCTCCTCACCCTCTCAGGGTTAAGAGGGCAGCTTAGGGAGGAGTCCCATGTTACTCAACACCAGGCCAAAACAAAACAAAACCTTCAAGTGCTGAACATTAATCCATGCAGTCCATGGAGTGTAACTTAACGTAGATTATCTCATTTTGCGGGTCAGCGATTAGCCTTGACACAAGCTTCATTATGAACTCCTATAAGTGCTAGTTTATCTTGAAGTGCCACTGTGATGAGGATTATGTCTTTTATCTATTGTTGTACTTGTCATCAGAGTGCCTCTTTATCATTCTGGGACCCAGCAAAACATTTTTGTCCTCTGTTGGGGACATTTGTATGTATTATTACAAAATGTATTATTTATTTATTTTAGTGTTGTGTTGTAGAAATATCAGGTTTATAGTAAACTAAAGACATTTTACATTTGCATCATTTTACAAAATATTTCTATTTCAAATAAATGCTGTTCTTTTAAACTTTCAAAAAAGAATCCTGAAGAAATATTAAAGAATGCTGAAAAAAATATCATAGTACTGTATTCACAAAAATAAAGAAATGTTTATTGAACACCAAATCACATATCAGCATATTAGAATGATTTCTGAAGGAACATGTGACACTGAAGAATGGAGTAATGGCTGCTGAAAATTCAGCTTTGCCATCACATGAAAAAAGTATATTTCAAAATATATTAAAATGTAACATTATTTTAAATTGCACTAATATTTCACAATACTGTATTTCTGATTAAATAATTGCAGCCTTTGTGAGCATAAGATACTTTGTTCATGTGTGTGTGTATATATATATATATATATATATATATATAATCCTACCAACCCCTGACTTTTGAATTTTTAAATTGTATATAAAGTGAAGTTAATATTATCATGATTACAATATTGTCTTTGTAGTACAAGTTGCCCCAAAAGCACATAAATCTGATTTACTTTAAATTAAATCTTGAATTGCTTTCTGAGCGTAAGACCGAGCACATGCGAAATAATAATTTTTAAAAGCTTGTGAAAGTCCTCTCTCTCAGCCCTCCATTTGTCATGTGATGGCACTGAGGGTACACGTAAGCAAATGTGGCTTTGAGGTGGGCTTGTGTGAATGTGTGGTAGAGACAGACATGTCTGATGGCTCGGAGGAGTGACGCAGACTGCACCTGTGTTCCGCTGACCCCCCCACTGTCTCTCATTACCTCTGCTCTGTGGGCACTGATATGTGCTTCAAACTGCAGCCGTGCACTGCTCTGTGTGCTCAGGATATAAGCATTGAATGCTATTGTGGACACACCTTAAGAGAGAAACATGTCTCAATAGAAACATACAGTAATGTTGTGCTTATATTGTTTTGAGCCGACATCCCTTCTGGCTTGTTGTTTTTCTCTTGTATCATAGTGGGTGAGTTTTGAATGTGATGTTGTTTTCGTGTCACATTATTATTTTCTATCATCACTGTGTTTGTAGTTTTAAAGAATTGTTATCACATAATGGCAAATCATCTGTCATTCATGACAGAGTTGTAATTCCAGAGTGTCTGTAATGCTTTCAGTTCAAAGACAAGCACTCCTTTTGAAGACAAAATACCTCTATTTTTTTTATTCCTACTAGTTATACTTACTTCACAATTAGTGATGGCATGTATAGTATAGTAATCTATAATTTTTGTTTTGCTGTCACACATTTGATCAAAGTGAGATTCATTATTCTCAGATATTCCCGAATTGCAGTTTATATCAGACACTAGTGCTGGGGGAAATAGCTAGAAAATTTTTTACTCTATATGATGTTCGGTAAATATCTTAATATTAATTTCTTAATATTTTATTAATATTAAGAATAAATATCTTCATATTTATTGATTGAGGAACTGTCAATAAGAGCAACTGAGCAACCATTGTAGCAAATTAGATTTGAAATGTTTAATGCAAGAAGTCTAGATAAAAATAAGCAAGGCATATTTTCCAAAGTTTTAACTAAATATGAAAAATGGTAAAAGAAGTATAGGCAAATCATTTTCATTTATATGCAATTATATAACGATACATAATAATAAACAACATTTAAATATCTGCGTATTTTTTAATACAACTTTTTAAAATGTCACAGAAACTATTTCTTTAGCAGATTAATTATTTGATTGACAAGAAATACATTAATCATAATTTTGAATTAGTTAATTGAAATGGTTTGAAATGGTGAATCAGTTTGATTCACAGATATTAATTTAATTACCAACTCAAATGCAGCTGACATCAGAGGCTAAATAAAAAGTGCATTAAAATCATCA